CGGGGCCGGCGGGGAGGCGCGGACGGGAGGGAGGGGAGGGCGGCGGCGCAGGCCGGCGTCTGCTCTTAAAACCCGGGTTTTATTAAGGGAATGTGCAGCAGTTGATGCGGCCGGTAGTGTCTCAGCAGTGCGAGAAACACCGTATTTTCATCCGCGGCTTTTTTTAAAGGCTTTTCTTCCCCTGTATTTTCGCTTGTCTTTCATCAGCTCGCTTGGTCCACATCAATGCCCACTTATTTGCAAGAGTTTAATTGCGTCAGCTTCTCAAATCAGTCCCCTGAGTAGCTGAATTAATCTTTCTGGCCAGATGGCCCTTTTTGTTCCCGCTGTTTAAGTTGTTGCTGTTTTGTTGATATCTTTGTTATTTCATTTGTTAAGTTGTAAGATACGTGAAAACCTGAAACGTGCTTATTTTTGAGGACGAGGAGTATTTGTGACTGGGCAGCCTGCTGGGTGTAGGCAAACCACGGAGGGATGTTCTTGTAGCTTCCCACCGTCAGAGGCAGTTAGACACCAAAAAAATTACTTTTTCTCAGAGCAGGCGGGGCTTTTTGCCCTTCCCTTCTGGTCCCACCATTTCTTCCATGCTGCTGTACCCTTTGGATATGTCATCTAGTTGGTAGAATAAAATAGTCCCATAGCTAAATTGTTCTCTTTACACTCTAGAAGTTTGTTTTTAAGGGGCCGCAGGTAGCATTAGTTGGTGTTGACTGTAGTCTGATATTTGGAACGTCAATGTTTTAGGCGTTTAAAGATACTGGCAAAGCACCTGTGGAACAAGAGGTAGCAATTCATCGCATTAGAATTACTTTGACAAGTCGCAATGTAAAATCACTTGAGAAGGGTGAGTGATACTTTTTTTTTTTAAACTGGGGTAGCTTGTTAAGTAATGAATGATATACGTGATATAATGTATTGCAAAGTAGAATGTATTGAAACCAGTTGTAATTAAAGATGTTAGCGTTTGCCTGTTTGTATGTGGCTTGGCTAAGTCAACCCAAAGCGCTTCATATGCTGACAAGTAGATTCTAATTTTCATCATGCTGAAAACGTCATGTCATAATTACTAACTTAGGAGCTTCTTCCCTTAGTTCTCATCAGGGTTTCAGTTGTTGCTATTTGAATATATACATACTGAAACTTCTTGATTGATATTTTGTCACTCTTGTTACAAAGAGTTTTGTTTAGAAGTTTAACGTTCTTTAAGAAATCATTGAATCTTAAAAGAAATAATTTAATCACTGGCTTTGCCAGTGTTTTAATCATGTAATGTAAATGTTGTAGAGTCACTGTTTGCAGGATCTTCAGGCTGATAACAGCTTAAATACAGCTTAAACTTGTAGTAATGGCGTTTGCCTACTGTTGTAACATGATTTTGCACACCTTGGTGTAACACTTCCACTTGTATGTGGTTGGCTATGAGGATAAGCCTTAAAATGAATGGCAATGATCACTTCATACGCTATTCTGAGCCAACATCTTGTTTGAAATCTTCACTTAAGAAAACAAACAAAAAAAAAATACTCACAAGCCTGAGCTATTTCGTATTTTTTTTCAGTATGTGCTGACTTGATCAGAGGCGCGAAGGAAAAAAACCTGAAGGTGAAAGGACCTGTTCGCATGCCCACTAAGGTACTTAACACTTTTCCTGTCTTAAAAGTTTGTTTCTCTGCAAATGTGCACTTAAAACATATTTTTCTTTTCTTTTTTTTTTTTTTAATTGAGATGAAAACCAGTACTACTAAATTGAGGGTTACCCGGTGTAAACAGATAATGAGTTCACAAATTGCTTTGACATTGACAAAACATGTTGAACATGGAAGGGGCTTTTTGTCCCTGAATGTATTTTAATTTTTTTTTCAAATTAAATTGAATATAGGGAAGAGGTGTTAACATCAGTAGAATACATCTTAAGAAGTAACTTTCCCATGATATAGATACCATACAGTACTTTTCATAGAATCATAGAATGGTTTAGGTTGGAAGGGACCTTGAAGACCATCTAGTTCCAACCCCGCCTGCCATGGTCAGGGACACCTCCCGGTAGACCAGGTTGCTCAAAGCACCATCCAGCCTGGCCTTGAACAGGTGGATTGATTTGATTGGAGTTCGTCTTCTGTATGCATCAACGAAATACCCTGTGTTTTTGATTTTTCTTCAGACTCTGCGAATCACTACAAGGAAGACGCCTTGTGGTGAAGGTTCCAAGACCTGGGATCGTTTCCAAATGCGTATCCACAAGCGGCTCATTGATTTACACAGCCCTTCTGAGATTGTGAAGCAGATCACTTCCATCAGCATTGAACCAGGTGTAGAAGTTGAAGTTACTATTGCCGATGCCTAAATGATGGGTCATCGTTGAATAAAGTTGGTTTACAAATTTTCATCACTGTTTGTTTTTATATGCATGCCAAGAGTCTGGGGTAGCCCTATGGTGATTTTCATGAAGAAGGACAACAGAGATCATAATCAAAATGCTGTGTGAGAGGATTGTATGATATCTAAGGAAGAACATGCCAGCTGTAAACATCAGGAACATGAAACTTTGGCATCATAATTTCATTGGAGGCTGGTGACTGTGTGGATGTGCAGCACTTAAATTATTAAAAATATATTTTCCATAAAGGGTTTAACTTCAGCTGAGATCTTACTCTGTACCCAGACAAGCAGTAGCATTAAAACTGATGTTTGGGTAAATTACCAAGTTTTCAATTATTAGTTTTTGCTACGCAAGGCTGAACTAACATTTAGCTTGCTTGGCTTCCCCCCCATCCCCCGTGCTTTTTACAGTCAAAGGATCCTGAGGATGTTAGTTATAAAACTTCATCATTTGTGGTGAATATGTTGAATTTTGCAAGTTCTGTCTTTAGACTTGCATGTAGAGTCACAAAACTAAGCTGTGGAAATCTCTACTTGACTATCTAGGTTTAGATTTCCATAGAAAGGTAATATTAAAGGTAAGCTTTATATGTAAAGCAATAAACCAAGCCATTTTCATTGCAGCTGCTTAGGCCTCTCAAGTTTGGTGGTGGGTTTTTTCTTCTGCAAACTAATCCTTTAAGGAACTATGATTAATTCTTAAATCTACAAGACATAAAGCCCTGGGTTAAATGAAAGAACACTTTAATTAAATCAGAATAGTTTGGGTTGGACATGACCTTTAAAGGTGATCTAGTCCAACCTCCCCTCCAATGAGCAGGGACATCTTAATTTCATCCATTTAAGACTGGTTTGCTGCTTCTGCTTCAAGCATATAAGAGAACTTGACTTTAATTAAAACAGAAGTGAGGAAACATGGTTGTGTGGACGTTGAGGTCCCATTTGTATTTGCTATGACCTAAAACACTGGCCAAAGCTTGAGTGTTCATACTCAAGGGCTTCAGGAGTTCCTCATCTGCCCACTTGTCTCAATAACATTAAATGTAAAGCCTTAGGAGGATTCTGTCCCTCTAGTTAGCAGGCTCAAGGGCTTTGGTTGAAGGGAGAGGTGAGAAATTTAGTTGCATTTACACATGCAGGTTGTGACCAGCCTGCTTCCTTGGGAAACATCTCAAAGAACTGTGTGAGAAGGCAAAAAACCCACTCCATCTTCCCAAAGGCTGGTTTCTGGTAATGCCAGATATATGAGCTATCTGGCAAATACTTCTAGCCTTAGGTTTAAAATTACTTGTGTTGTATGGGGTGCTCTGAAGAGCACGGCAAGAACTTAACTTGGTGACACCAATCAGATGAAAAGGGGATAAATGGGGGAACACGGAACAGACAAGAAGTGTTGCTGAGTCCGGCTGGTCTTTGTGGACAATTAACCATTCACTTTCACCCAAGGAGTCTTCCCTCAGCTTAACCCAGCACCCTCAGTGGGGTCTAGGGAGGGTTGGTGGGCTTTGACACCACTTCTGCCTTTGGTCTTTCCCGTTGGTCCGAACCTATTGCTATGACATAGCTTTGTATCGGCGTACAGCCGGCTGAACCTCTCTGACTTACACGGTGCCCCCTAAACATACCAAAACCGATCTAAAATCCCACCTATGTTCTGTGTGGCTCTTCAAAAACGAGTTTTTGGTGGTGTTTTGAGCGCGCGTCTCCCTTTCCTGTGGCCGCCTGAGCTTCTCTCTCCTCACCTGCCCCCAACCTACTCCTCGGGGCAAACACCGGCCAAACACGAAGCCCTCTGCCTGCTCTCCGCACGGACAGGCCCAGGCGGGAAGGTGGTTTGTCCACTCTTTTTTTCCCCACCAGAAGAGCCGGCCCTTCGCTGGTTGCAGGTGACGGAC